ACCTCACAAAGGTTATCTACTGCAGTCGCTGCACAAATCCTTGGATTGGGGGTAAGAGAGTCAGAGTACGTCTCGCCTCTTGGATACATCAACATCTCTTCGTGAACACATACGCTGGTAGGGCCGTAATATCCAAGCCTTTGTATTATCAAAACACCACATCATCTGAATGTATGAATAGTATCAGGGCATTGTCAAAATAGCTGACGACGACGACAAATTTAGCAAAGGTACGTGAGCATTGTGGCAAGGACGAAAAGAGAACGAGGGTCTTGTAGGGATGGCGACGTGTCCCTGGAGAAAAACAAGAGCCCCTGAAAGTTAAACCTCGATGTATCCAGACAGCCACACGAGCTTCGCTCACTTCCGACGCAAGGGGTGGGTGATAACACCAGTCTACCATCTAATTAGAATGCACTCCGTATCTGCAACTCGCCCAAACCAGGAAAGCCGGCGAAGAAGGCCACATCGTCGGGCATACCCAAGAACAGACGGATTAAGGCCGCATATCACGACATCTCTCAAACACGGCTGCCTCGTCGCTTACAGGTGATATGCACACTGCAAAGCGCATGCGCTTCAAGAGTGGACACGAGTTCGATGTCGCCATTGCTTCTACATCTAGAACCTCTAGAAGCCCTCCCCGCTAATGCAGCCCTGTAGCACCGCCTCGATAGTAACTGTTTTTCTCCTTCTCCTAGTAGCAAATATACGCCCTCCCTAACCCGTTACTATACATAGGTTCTCTCTCCACCATGCCGTCCTTGACATCAGCACCAACAAAGACCCCACTGTACCTAACGCTTTGCTGGCGCAGACCTGGCCGTGAAGAAGGGGTGCTTCAGCGCGTCGGCTGGCTTGATCCGCTTCTCCGGGTTCAGCGTAAGGCAGTGCTCAAGCAGGTCGACGAAGTGGTTCAGGTCCCTGGTCTCGGCGTCGTTCATGCCCGCTGAAGCGGCGAAGAGGCGGGTGCGTAGGTCACGCGTCGGTTTAACGACGGGCAGGACCCTGGCGGTAGTCTGTGAGGCGCAGATATGTTAGTCTCGTCATTCTTTCAGTCCATTTTCAAGAACGAGTGCGAACAAGGGTGCAAGGGTTAAGGAAGGGGCGTGGTAGCGGGGTCCTCAGCTGCCAACTGCAAACTGTCACAGGTGACAAATCGATGGCAAATATGTTGGACCCTAGGTGCAGAGCGGGAGTAGGGAGACGAAACAGGGGCGAAGGAGCTTTGGCGGCAAATGATGGGATGGTGAGGCCGTGACAACAGAGTTGCTCGAGCTTCCACGCGCGTATGCATTCCTCCGAAGTTGGGACTGACGTCTGGCTCCTCAACGTATCCTGATCCGGATCCTGATCCGGACCAGGACCAAGCAGTTCATGCGAGTCCGAACGGTCCGAAAAGGGTTGGTTGGAGGTGGTCTGCGCAGGCCGTGGCCACCGGGGCCCGCGTTCCGGGGCGCTCGGGCCTGAGATGCCGGCCCCAGATTGCTCCAAGTGGAGACATGCATACGCATGCGCAGCCGCGCCTCAGTGCTCAGCGCTTACAGCCGCACTCCGCCTCCAGGCTAAATCTCCTCGGTCCTGCAAAAATAGCATCGAATGTGGTGATTTGGCCGCGTGGGGAGGGCATGAAACATGCGTATGCACAGGCGTTGGGAATATGGGGAAAGGGGAAGGGTATGCAACAAGGAAATAGCAAACAGCAAACAGCGATCGACACGACGTACCTTTCCAAGAACCTTGTCTCTTTCCATGCTCACGAAGTTGCCCTGCTCGTCGAAATGCATGGGCGCTAACTGCCCTCGCTTGTACAGCTTCGGCGTGATCTTTCCGCGGATCTCCATAATGGCCTTGAGCATCTGGTTGTTGCTGTCGCCCGCAAAGAGGATCTTGCCGGTGTACAACTCGTACAGAGTGCAGCCGATGGACCACATGTCGATGCTGTAGTCGTAGGGCATACCGAGAATGATCTCCGGTGCTCTGTAGAAGCGACTGACGAGGTACGGGGTGATTTCGTTGTGCGCCGTGGCAGCGTCGGATTTGTCGATGCCTGTTCCCAGATCGCAGATCTTCAACACGTTACGACTTTCATTGACCTGTGAATGGTAAGCATTGTCTTCATATTTGGCTCTGAGGCCGGGGTTACTGACCAGAATGTTGTCAGGCTTGAGATCGGCGTGGATAACGCTGCATTTCCGCATGTGTGCCAAACCGATGAAGATCTGATGAGCGTATGCTCGAGTCGCGACCAGGTTGATGCCGACGTTGTTGCCAAACTTCTTCAAGACCTCACGCAGGTTAAGGCTGAGGTTCTCAAAAGCCATACACAGATGGCCCTTGTGGTCAAAGTGCCGCTCAAACTTGACGATATGTTTGCGGTTGTCCGGATCAGCGTCGTTGAGCTTCTGGAGAATGGCGATCTCGGTAAATCCACCCTTTCTCAGCGCGTCGTTGTTTCTCATGATCTTGATAGCAACGAGGTTTTTGTTCGTGATGTCCACTGCGCGAGCGACACCGGAGAACATGCCCTTTCCGAGGGCCGACTGGACCTGGTAGCGCCCGTTGAGGATCTCACCAATGCGAAGCTTGTAGTATCCGTCCTTGTCATCGCCTTCGAGGATGGCGCCGGTGGGCTGACCAAGCGCAGGCGAGGCCTTGGTTTCGTCGACCGCGAGGACCTTTGAGGGCTTGGGAGCGGCGTACTTGTCATCGTCAAAGTCCTCGGCAAACATGTCGAAGTCATCATCTTCCTCATCACCAGTTGACTTTTCAGCTGGAGGCTCTTCGGGTTGCTCTTCAAGCTGGACTTCAGGTTGGGTCTCGAGCGCTTCGCCGTGCATGCCGACATTGCCATGCCGCCTTTCGTCGCGCCTCTCGTCTTCCTTCATGTCCACTGTAGGGTCATAGTCCGCAGCGGAGGGACCATCTTCCTCTGTAGCCTTACCACCTCCATGCGTGTTCATCAGATCCGTCTCGTTCACGATGTCGATCGTACCCGGGGAGCTTCCATCTTGTGCTGGTGACCCAATATCTGAACGCTTAGCGGGAGTAGCGTAGCTGGGCATGGGCTTCTCACCTGAAATCGGGGTATCAACATCTCCGCCTGGCGTGCCCTGGCGCGCTGGTGTAGATACTGCGGACTTGTCTGACGCATGCAAAGCATGCACGAGGAGCGGTGTAGCGGAGCTAGACTTAGCCAGGAGTTCATCTCGGCGTCGACGTCGGCGTTCAATCTCAGCCTCTTCATCAACAACCATGGGTTCCTCGAAGTCTTGCTCGGGCTCGGCTTGTGGAGCTCTATGGGGTGACGTCAGCATGCGCGGTTCAAAAGACTTGTCCCGGGAAACGTACGGCTGATTCTGAGATGGTCCCGCACTGCCGTTGCTTTGGTTTGCAGAGTCTTTCACAGGTTTAGCATCTCCTCTGGAAGCACGGAAATCCTTCCCTACAGCGCCTCCGTTGGTCGAGTAACCGTTTCGGGTGTCTCGGTTGCGGTGATCCTCGTACTTCAAGCCGCGGAACGAGTCCGAGAGACGATCCCGTCCGCTGTCTCTTGAGTAGCGATCGTCGCGGCCGCGTTCGTTGCGCTGGGGAGGGCGATAGGGCGACCTAGTGCGATTACGCGCTCTCTTATCGGGGTACCTGTCCCTCTCACGGTCACGGTCCCTCTCTCGCTCCCGATATCGGTCCCTGTCCCTGTCCCTTTCACGGCTGCGGTCTCTGTCGTGATCGTCGTAGGCGAGATTCGAGCCGCGCGAGGGCGGGCGGTCAAGGTCCTCATAGGAAACGCGGCTGCGACGGTAATCATCGCGCGGGCCGTCCTCGTAATGCACGCGGAAGCGGCGCGTGTCCTGTCGTCCTCCTCTGTCTCCACCGGCGTAGTCACGCTCGTCGCGGGAGCGCTTGAATCCGCGGGGCGGCGGCGACCGGCTGCGTCTCGATGACGACGAGTTGTAGTTGCTGGCGGTGTGGTGTCTGGGGTGGGAGTCGTGCTCGGGAGATTTGGAGGCCGAGTATCTACCTCGGGTTCTGTCTTGACGGTCAACACCGTTTCCTTCAAACTTCTTCGGCAGTGAAGTTGCCTTCAAATCCACAGCGTCATTCTCAACGATCTCGCCTTCGTCCGAACTCGACGCCATGTTTGTGCGGTGCTGTGTAGCGCAAGGAGCTCCCTCTTCTTTTCAAAAGTGTGTAGTACGTATTGTAAAGCAGGATCCGCCAGAGGGAAGGTTCCCCTAGGTCTTTTGCGCGCGCAGAAGCAGCAGCGACGTGTCAGCAGAGATCACTTGAAGATTGTATGTGCGGCAGGAATAGTTTGCGAACCGGATGTCTATGTCGACTCAGCTCATGGGGGATGGTTTGGGAGAAGCCAGACGACACGCAGTAGGGCCGGAGCAGAGCAGGATGGAAGAAAAGATGGGGGAAGTAGGAGCTGTTTGTATAATGCAACGCAGAGTCGACAGAGGCAAGGGGTGTGTTGTTTTGTTTGTCGACGTAGTAGAGGTGGATTCAGCGATCAAGGGTCGAAACGGGTATTGTGGCCCTGGTTGCGCTGAAGATGCTGGTCGGTGGTCTGCTGGCTGGCTAGCTGTCTGCAGTGCGCTGGGATGATGAAATGCGACGAGACGAATTTTGGTAGGCGACGAGACACGCCCGTCGGAGAAACCTGGGTGGCACGGAACAGACGTCAGGCGTGGAATGTTCCGAGGGGACCCGCAGAGGTGGGGAGATCATTTAATGATGGATAAGTGAGTAAGCACCGCAAGTACGCTTATCGAGAAGCCTATCGCTCTATCCGTGGACCCTTTGCCGCTGACCGATTTCTCCAGGAGGGGCATTTTTCACCCCACGCTCGACCTCTCCTGCGCCGCCGCGTCTTTCTCGTTTCCTCTCCCCGTTAGACTTTCTCGAAATCGAAATCTGCGACGCCAGCCTTGCTACCCTCAGCACTCCACGCCCAAGTTGACCCAAGTCCCAGATACTCTCGACAACTCTTTAAAATGGGTGGCGCAAACCGCGAAGGTCAGTCATTGGTTTCCCTTGCTGTCTCTCGCATGCTGACAGACTCTCTGCAGGTGGCAAGGCCAAGCCTCTCAAGGCCGCGAAGAAGCAGAACAAGGACCTCGACGAGGACGATCTCGCCTTCCTCGAGAAGAAGCGCGCCGGTATGTTTCACCACGGAACCCCTCGACCGCGCAACCTACTAACGACGATGCAGAGGAGAAGGCTCGCAAGGACATGGCCGCCAAGGCCGGCGGCAAGGGACCTTTGAACACCGGTGCCCAGGGCATCAAGAAGTCCGGCAAGAAATAAGCGGAGTCTTCCCGTTAAAGGCGAGACAGGAGTTATCGCAAGGAGCCAGCCAGCAAGCGTGTTCTGCATCCAACCAGACAGGCAGTTTTTGCAGCAATTTTCCAGGCGGCCAGGCGGAGCGCATTCTTTTACATACCTACACGAGCATGCAATGAAATGATTAACGTACTCCTGCAAGTTTACTGGCAAAGAGAGTAAACTCGAGCCGCCTGATGCGTTCCGGGGGTGCGTGGGGCATGGGTGATGCCAGCGCACGCTCGACATGTCTCTCATGCCTTGAAGTGCACAGCCAACACCACCTGAATCCTAGGGCGGTTTTGACTCGGTCGCGAGACTTGGGTTGGCATGCCGTGCGTAAAAACCAAATGAACTGGGGGAGAAGGATTCTTGTATGTTTTTATCCATGGGGTGGTTGTCTGGAGTTGGTTCCCGTGCGAAACGTCCCGCGTGCAGATGCTGATCCCTTTACCCACAAGACCCTTCGCACAGCACCCCTCGTCTCCATCCAGTGTCCGTCTCAGTGTGTCTCACGGCGCTGCACGCCTCTTACGTCCAAAGGTAGTGTAGAAGAAGAAGAAAAAATAGGGGAACAGCTCCGCCGCGGTGGGCAGTCTCACCGACGGACCGACCCATAGTGGTAACCTGCTGTCCGGGTGTCCGCCCCTCCACTTGGCGCCAGCTGAGAGTCCCCGATCGGAGCACTTTCAACGGCCTCGGAGCCGCTCCATTGCCATCGTTTTTTCAGCATGTGGAAATCCCAACAATTCCATCGCATCCCACCCGTTAGGGACCCGCAGCAAGGGAACATCACCACCACGTATAAGCCCACTCATCCGCAACGGCTCATGATGAACTTCAATCTTGCAAAACATAGACTCACTGCTTTCACGTCGACTACTTCACACTCATTGTACACCAGACTGTAAATTTGTTCCATCTCAAAATCATTGCGCAAGATGACCGCAACCGCCAAGGGCTCCGGCCTCAAAAACCGCAAAACCAACAACGCAGACAGCAACACCAATAAGTCCCTCCTCGAGACAGTAGAACACAAGGCCGCAGACCTCGAACACAAAATCGAACGCGCCCTCCTCATCCTCTGGGACGACCTCCCCCACTGGCGCCGCGACAACGCCTTCATCATCTCCGGTTACCGCCCAGACTCAAACTCCTACCTCGGCTCCTTCAAAAGCCTGGGCTACCTCCACAACGAGTCCGTCAACATCTGGTCCCACCTCCTCGGTGCCGTCGCCTTCCTCTTCGGCGGGGCGTATCTGTACACCGTCATCGCTCCCCGCTATGAGTCCGCATCGGCCGCCGACCTCTTCGTCTTCGCCTGCTTCTTCGCCGGCGCCGTGGCCTGCCTCGGCATGTCCGCCACCTATCACGCCCTCTGCAACCACTCCCCCGAAGTCGCAAAATGGGGCAACAAGCTGGATTACTCCGGCATCGTGTTCCTCATCGTCGGCAGCTACGTGCCGGCTCTGTACTACGGCTTCTTCTGTCACACCAACTTGATGAAGGTCTACCTCAGCACGGTAAGTCCTCAATTCCTTCGTATAAGTCACTGTCGACGTTGCTCACACTTCACAGATTGTCCTCCTGGGACTCGGCTGCGGCATGGTCTCTTGGCTCGAGCACTTCCGCACGCCTCAGTACCGCACCTTCCGCGCCTGCATGTTCGTCGCCCTAGGCACCTCGGGCGTCGTGCCCGTCATCCACGGCCTGACCGTGTACGGCCGGGCGGAAATGGAGAACCGCATGAGCCTGAGCTGGGTAGTCCTGCACGGCGCAATGTACATCTTTGGCGCGTTCCTGTACGCCGCGCGCTGGCCGGAGCGTAGTTATCCTCGCACCTTCGATATTTGGGGCAGCTCGCACCAGATCTTCCACTTCTTCGTGGTCCTCGCGGCGGCGACGCATTTGTACGGCATGGCGAATGCGTTTGACTACCATCACACTGTCATGGGGTCGCAGTGTTGAAGCCGATAGAGTAAATGTGAAGATAGAAGTAATTGTGTAATAAAAGGGTATCATTGATGCCGTCGCGCAGCAAAACGTCTAGCACTCTACGCCCAGATCCATCACCCTCACCAGCCCCGAGGCCATCGCCACTGCAGCCCAACACGAGGTCTCTTGGTTCGGGTTCCACGCCATAGTCGTGACTCTCGTCAACGCTTCCGAAAGAACCGCCCTCGTCGGATCAGCAAAGTGTCCGTCGCCCTCCTCCTGGCCGCCCTGCACGTCCGCATCCTCTTCTTCCTCGACTGCACCAGCCTTGGCTTTGCCCTTAGCTTTCCCCTTGGCCTTCCCTTTGCCCTTTTTGTCCTTTTTCTTGTTAGTCGCGACCTTGCTCTTCCATGTATCCACCTTAGGGTTGACATTGGGAACTGGGCGGAAGCCTTGCAAGATCCTCGACACGCCGCGACATGCCTGCTCGTTGCCATTCACTTGCTGGACCGACGGTAGCAGCCTCTCGCGCGGTATGTAGGTGTGCTCCAACACCTTGATCTTGTGCCCAAAGTGATGCTTCGAAGCAAAGATCCTGTTCCCGGGGTTCGCAGCCCACACGGTCCCGTCGAGGTATCCAACCAGCACGAACGGATGGTGCAGGCCCACCGCGAGACACGTGGGCAGCCTGTCCCCGTCCATGACCTTCCGCACCTGCGCCGCGTACCATCTCGAATGGATGAAGCCGACCGACGCATTCAGTGGGTTTGCGGAGGGCACTGTACTAAAGAATCCTCTGAGGTGATCATTCCACTGCAGGAGGTTCGGCTGCGGGCTGATAGCGAAGCAGGGAAAGCTCGTTCTTTCGCAGGATGGGTCGGAGAGGTCGACGAGAGTGGTGTAGCCCGCGATCGGGGTCGAGGCGACCAGGTACGGGTTTGACGGGTAGGCGGTGTCGATGTGCATCACGTAGGTGGAGTGTACGTCGTGTCGGGAGAGGCAGACGCGCGGGGCGATGGACCAGAGGGTGAGGGAGCCGTCGGAGTGGCCTGTCACGATGCGGTTCGTGGTAACCCAGGCGAAGCAGGTTACCGTAATATTTGTTTCCGAGGGGAGGCCTAGGGTCACGATCTCGTGTTCGAGTTTGGCTACTAAGTGTTAGGGTACTGCTTCCCTAAGGCAAAGAGTGACTTACTGAAGGAGTCTTGCTCGTCGTTATCGATGTCCTTGACTGAGACGACGTGGACTTGGCCATCACCACACAGTAGTGCCATAAGACCTAATGAGCCGTCATCCGTGAATGGGATGGGACACCATTTGATTCTCTTGACTCTTCCCCAATCTGAGCAGATGGTACGAGCCAGCTTTGCTAGACGGTTCTGTGGGTATAGTAAGCCGTTCTCGTCTGTCCGACCGTGGAGCTCCCACAGCTGGATAGTGCCCTTCTGCTCATCAACAGCATCCTCGGCATCGAGCTGCTGGTCGGTATGCGGGCTGACAGCGAGCGCGAGAATCTGCGAGTCTCCTTCTCCTCTGAGAGCCCAGTCCATACTGATCACAAGGCCACCGACATCGAACATCCACCCAGCAACCTTCTCATCCGCCTCTCCTTCCATAGGCAGCCCGGATTCGGAAAGCACCAAGCATTCACGCGGCGCAATCTTCACCTCCTTCTGCTCCGGGTACGGTCCAAGAACCATCTTCAACTCGCCGTCGGGCTTCACCCTCCACTCCTCAGCCTCCTTAGGACTCATCTCCTTCTCCGCGTCCCTCACTCCCTCCCCACCGCTCACCCTCGCAAACCAAACTTTCGAGACTACAGCTTGCTCCTCTAAATGCCCCTCCTCAAGCCAGGGACTCGACACAGGACAGGCATCGCCCCCAGGCACCTTGCTCGGCAAGACCCCGTACGCCGCCCACCGACTCAACAACCAACCCGCAATCCCGATCGCCTCCTCATCGGGCCCGTAGAAATAGTCCAAGATCTGATTCCTCTGACCGCGCTTCAGCGCGCCGGTGTAATACCGCGTCGGGCGCCCGTCGGCGTGGTACTTCTCTAGCGCCGCCATGTCCGCCTGCCGTTTGCGCAGGCCGGCTGAGCTGGTGTACGCAGGGCGTTCGTCATCCTCGTCGTCGAAATCCCGATTACCCGCATCAATTGCAAGAGACGACGGGTCTTCTGCCTCAAAATCGTCGTCGCCGGCGCCGTCAAGCTCCATGCGGTCGTCTTCATCGTCTTCTGGGTCAGGTGGGGGCGCCTCAAAATTGTCGTCATCGGGGTCCTCGTGAGTTTCGGGCGGCTCGCCGTCTGAGCCGTAGTCAACGACGGCTACGCGCCGCGTTTTGTTTCGGGGGCGCGTTCGCACCATTTTGGTGTTGATGTACCTAGGTGAGCTTGGCGTTGACGGGAGTAAAAAGATCCGCCTGAGGTGAAGTTTGATGAATGTGGTGGATGCACAGTGTACACAGTGTAAATATGAAACTCCTCCAGTAAATACTTTATTGCGGGCGGATTTTTAGCCCAGCTTTTGCAGTATGAATGAACCTCACATTGGACGATATCCCAATTAATTTTCAAGTATGCTTAGAAATAACAGCCCATTCTACACAGCCAAAGTATAGTTTAGTGTAATAAAAGATTAGAAGCTTAGTTACTAAGAGGTACATCTAGGTCGGGTAGAATAGAAGAAGAAGAAGATAGGAAACAACTATCAGCAAGTGGATTAATCATCTATCCTCATGAGGCTACGCTAATGTCTTCCAGGTTCCCTTTTCTAAACCGAGGTCGAGAAGATCTAGGCAACTGAAGGCCGGCCATAGTGTCCTTCTGTTTACATCGCCTTTGTAAGCGTCCTCAAACTCCAGGTCGAACTTAAATGCACCCATGCGTTGTCGTCTAGTGGTCTTATGGACCCGAGATATTCCTCGCTGTTCTGTTGAATCATTGTTGTGCGAAAATTTCTCGTCGCCTAATAAATGATGCTCAAAAAAGAGATCAATTTGATCAAACAACGCCCTCGACTTTTCAATAATATCCGATGCATCCGACTCATTGTGCTTGAACGTGCCTAAAAAAAACGACAAAGGGCGGTGGATATATGTAGGCCTGAATGCCACAAAAGCGCCCACCTTGTTATCCAGACGGTCAAGAGAATTAACGGCACCTGAGTTGAATGATTGAAAGTAAAAATAGCGCACCGAACTCGAATTAATAAGACCGTGTAGCTCACGGCGAAGCTTGCGCACCAATAGAAAGTAACGCCTGATAGGGTGCCCGAGTTTCAGCGCTAACTTGTAGCTTTCGTCCCGGGAAAGGTGTCTGAAGACTGGCGTGTGCCGAGAGAACAGGTCAATTTCCAGGCCATATTGAGAAATTATTGATGACGACGACCTTCTACGAGGTAATCCAGGTGGTCCAGGTAACCTGAAGAGCTTGGTTTGAGCCCCATAACTGACCAACATCTCGTAGAGGTGTTGGATCACATGCCTATTGCGCAGAAATTGTGTCAGATGAGCTGCGCGAACTTGCTTTCGCGAAGCAGCCGTGATTGCAAGTTGGTCCATCAGTTGAGCCAGGAGAAGTACCGGAATTTCAGCCATCGTGCTTCCAGTATTTAACCTTGCGTCATCTTTTAGCAAACGCAGTGTAACTCTGTGTCTCCCGTGCGCAAGAGCAGCTATTAGAAAGCGCCTTGATAACCCTATCGGGATGTGTGGGAGCAAGGAACCAAAACACACAGCGTCGCCCCTTTTGACTGCGAGCTTCAACGCTCTAATAAAGGTCGTAAACTTGATTCCAGTCATAGAATGGTTCTTAAGCAGGGCTGACATGACTGACGAGCAAGCATGATTCGAAGCGAAACGGAAGTACTTGTTGTACAGGACGTTGCGAGATCCTGAGCTAGGTACCTCAGCGTAGCGCACGACTGCTTCAAGAGCCAAGTGTAGATCCCACTTGGTGGCGGACTTAATGGCTCCTTCAAGCCTGTTTGTTGGCTTGTTCGCTGCCCCAGAGTGAGGATGCTCGATCAAGGCATGAAGTAGCACTTGGCCACTTTTGATTTTGCCGTTCCGTTGAGTCGTTTCCAAGGCCCGAGCAATATTGACGTCGCTGAAGTTGTCTAGCGATAGCGTCAATAATTTCATGACATTGGCGTCATGATATCTTGCCGCGAAAATGATGTCAAAACCTTCGCCTTCGCAATAGCCATTGAGCAGCTCCTTAGCCATCCCGCTTTGTCGCCTTCTCAAGGCCAAAGTCAGGCTCTGCTCCCAGCGGGCACCAAAGCTTGCAAGAAGATTTATGGTAGGAATATGCTCGACGATGACAGCTGCCTCTGTCGCAGACAAGTGGCGAGGTATATGCAAGGTGCTTTTGGATCGGTTTTGGAGAAGGATCCTTGCTAATTCGACGAGTTTGCACAGAGTTACGTGGAATATGGGATAACACGTAACAAATTCTGCGAGTCCAAATTCATTTCCAGTTGCGTACGGAGACTCCTTGAACGAACCAAACCCAAGACTCAAATCTTCTGCCAACCAATAAATTTGGCCGTTCTGAATCCAATAGAACGAGACATTGGGTGACTGTAGCATGTCCGCAGCCAGCTGGAGGGCTTCTTGTGATCCTTGTCCTCGAGCCTGTGCCGCATGTTCAGACCAGTAATTACAGGCATAACGCTGCACAGGAAGGTCCAAGTCCAGGCCCTTGTGTCGTGCTGTCTGGTAACAGTGCTGGATGTATGCGACACAGCTTTCCAAAATGACCGAGTGTGCCAGCCCAGCCTCGAAAGGTAAATCCATTTCTTGTACGGGAAAGGTGCGTTTTGAGAGGAGATATTCCTTTACGGAGAAATGGGCTAATGTGAGGGTGTGTCGACAAGCTGAAGGTTGGTGGCCTTCTTCAAGTTCCGGTTGTGCGACCACAAGACCCGACAGAATTTCCACAATATCGGCTGGATTCATCTGCCGATCCGCCTCCACTGGTTGCTGAGATCTTGCTTCGATGATGCATGCTTCGGCAACCTCCTCGACGAACATGGGACGGGCTGCAAAGCACAGCCACTTCAACGCTCTGCTAGCTTCCTGGGTATACATGGAATCAAGTCGACTTAGAATTCGGTCGTATGTGCCGTAGAGATCGCGCGGGAGGCTTTCCAAAACTCTCATGACATCGTAGGGGCGAAATAGTCTCAGCTTCTTCAGATGCTGCATTTGAAGGGCGGTCCATCGAAACCTTGGTGGTTCTCTGTCAGTACTAGGTATATAGAAACCTTAGAAGATGAGGGAATGCTACTTACATGCCATTGGATTGGTACACGAGCTTATCTCTTATTTGATCCTTGACTCTCTCTGGAAGCGAGTTCAATCCAGAATGAAGTTTCAGCTGAACCATGATGTAGCTCTCGATGTCGGACAAGACGTTGTTTCTTTCCATGCCGAAAAGTTTCCAGCCTTGAGCAACCGGAAAGCTGTTCGAAATGTCTCTTTCGTATCTGCCGGTGAAAAGAATATGAATATGATTAGATGGTGTCATACTCGCCATAGTATGAATGATATCAATGATCGAATCCCGCAGTGATCCTTGTGGGATCTCATCTATTCCATCAAATATTATGAAGACGTTGTTCGGCCTGTCCGAAGGGCTTGTCTGCGCATTATCCGGGTTTCCAGCGATTCTTCTAAGCATAGATAGTAATGTAGTTCTGAGCTCCTTACGAGATGGTCTCGAAGGAAAGTTTCTTGAATGCAATGCACCAAGCTCTGGAGCAGTATCACTCTCTCTCCATAGTTGGCAAATGAGAGAGCGAAGAAGCAAGTCTATGTCGTGAGTGGATATGTTGTCGAATGCAAAATAGTAATAAGCAAGTCTTGGGTTATCGCTCGAGGCCTCAAGATGCTTTTTGACCGTTTCGACAATCGTGGAACTATGCCCTCACCCAGTCAGCTGTCAGAAATGCGATCGGGAAAAGTGTTGGCTTACCAAAGGAGTGTTTTCCCAGCACCAGCTGAAGTGCGTTAATTTTATTACAGTTGTTCTCAAGTCTTGTCGAAATGAGTCGAGATGGCACTCACCACCGCCATGAAGCCAAAGACGGGATCTTGGTTGAGATATCCACTGCGCAAAAACATCACCGTTAACGAACCAACCTCCGGTCCCTCGTTCACGTAAAGTAGCTGCGTGGTCGTGTGAAGATACATGGTCTGGAGGGTCAAGCCAGTCCCAAAACTCCTTGCGCTGGAATCCTTCTTGCTATTAGTCATCTTGGTCGGGGCTATAGGAGTAGCCGATCTTACTCTTCCATCCTTCATCCTGCTTGCTATCCATCACGGCAACGGCATCTTGCAGAGACGCATGTCGGCCTTGTCCTTCGGCAATGGTGTTCCTGTGTTGTCAGTTAGCGAGCCCGACCGCAGGCAAGGACGATGGCCGACTTACAATGTCAGAACTTGCATAGCTAAGCTCAAATCATCGGTCATGTCCGCAACGAACCCCATGAAATGAGATATGGTGCCTGACCGGAAAAGGTAGCAGGCGCGACGGCCTATCTGCCGCAACTTCTGCAGCATGCTGGAGGGTGGTCCAAGATCCCTCACCTTCTTCAGCAACGTCTCCATCTTCTCTGCGCTTTCCTTGAGATTGTCATATACGTCGTTTATCGCGTAAACCAACCCCGGATCTACATGGGGCTTCAAGAGAACTGACTTCAAGTGATCAAGCATGATTGTCAGCCGCTGCATCGCCTCTCGAAATTGCTTCACGTCATCATCGCAGTCTTTCCAGGAGTTATAGTACTCCTTGATTCCTCCGAGAACCTGAAGCGAGAGACCGACTACCGCGAGGGCCGTGCCGGGGTCCATGATGTCGAATCGGCTCTTCAGAGAGCAATGAAGAAGAATACTTGCCCGATGAGATTGCGCTGGCGGCAGGCAGCATTTGAGTAATTATGGCAGCAGAACGCCTTGCGAGTTGCTTGTGCATGCCTTGGCATATCTGCGTGTCTGCCCAATGGGGCTCATTCTGGGTCGCGCCCTACAGTCGGTAGGCAGCTGCAGCCGTACCGGCCAGTTTTGACCGGGGCCGCAGGAAACAGTCGAGGGCGCAGGCCGCAGCAACGACCCAGGTGGATTCAGTTACGCAAAAACGGTAATCAAGTAGGAGATCACTCAAGGCCTAACAGTGGCAGAAATGTGTGGCTGAGGACATTCAGTCTTCGTAATATTACATGTCAAATATATCAACTCGGCCTTCCTCACAGAACAGGCCTTTTTTCCTTCATCTTCTACACGTACACGTAAAAAAGCCTTCAAGAGCGGTGTTGGTTTTTTGTTTCTCTCTCGTTCCGGCGCCACGCAAGTCGCCCAAAAGTTCGCCAGTCCCATATGCCCCTCCCGTTCTAATTTTTTTTGTACAGGTAGTAAAAACACTTTTTCGGTGGCTTTGTATAAAAAGGGGGTTTGTCGAGGGTGTGTGCATGGGAGGAGGGGAGGGGGGTCTTCATTCATTCATTCATCCAACCGGAATCCTCTCTCTCGCCCTTGCCCCGCGTGCGTGAAAACATACCATCTTATTGATAAGACGTAAAAAGTAGGAGGGAAGTAATTTTGGGTTTTTGTTTGGATGTTCCTTTAGTAGTAGTCCTTTCCGCTCTTCTGCATCTCAATGAGACGCCATCCTCTCGTCTCGGGGTTGCTGACGTCGTCGGGCACACGGGTGATGCCGATGGCGTACGTGACGAGCTGGACCTTATCCTCCATACCGGCCGCGAGCTCGCCGCTCTTGGCGTTGCGGTAGACGTGCACCTCCTGCGTCCTGCAGGTGATGACGAAGACGGGGATCTCGCCGGGGTCGAGCATGCGCGCGCGCACAATGTCGACGTGGCGGATGTCGAGGATCTTGCCGTCGGACTTGAGGCCGGCCTGCAGGTACTGCTTGGTCAGGGCCTCGTAGACGGAGTACTGCGCCTCGGAGAGCCACAGCTTGAGGGTCGGGACGTCGCCCTTGACGTAGGCGTCGAGGACCTCGGGGAGGATGTACTCGCGGAGCTCCTTGAGGAAGGGCTCGGTCTGGAAGTTGGGGTCCATGGAGCGAAACTTCTTGATGACCTGCGCCGTCTCGTTCTCGGCGAAGAAGCCGCCAATCTTGTCCGTGACCAGGCGCGCCGTCTCGATGAGGGGGTTGTCGGACTCGCGGTAGACCTTGCCGGCGTTGAAGAAACCTTGGGCGAACTTGTTGCCGTCCTTGAACTCGTTCCAGGCCTCCTTCCAGGCGGCGTCCTTGTGGAGGGTGACATTGGTGCCGGCGCTTGTAGCTGTCAGTAAAGTTTCGGGCATAGCCGATACGTGCGACTTACTTGGGATCCTCCTCCATAATCACGGGCTTGCCGTGCTTGGCCTGCTCGGCTTCGCGCTTCTTCCTGCGCTCTTCCTTCTCGACCCAGCCACCGTAGCGCGAACTGCTGCCATCGTCGATAACATCCTTGACGTTCTTGTACGCCTCGGTCTCACGGAGGGGCTTCGTCGCCTTGTCGAGAGCGTCTCCGGTAACGTTGGCGACCTTGCGGACGCCCTTCATGGCGGTGGTGTCCCACGTCCATGCGGCACCCTTTCCAATCGCACCAGCCGTAGTCTTGACAGCGCTGCTAGCGGCCGAAGACAGAGCTCCGGTGGACTTCTCGTAGGCCTCGCGGGCTTTCCTCACGCGCTCGCTCTCGGTAAAGTCCTGGATCTCACCAGACAGCGCCTTCGTCGACTCGTTCCATTCCTTGGACTTGCTGAACTCGGCCTGCATAGTCTCCGTGAAAACCTGCCATGGCGTCTTGTCACCGTGGGGTGGCGGGGGCGGGGCATCCTCCTTCTTCTGCTTCTTGTCGCCCTGCTCACCCTCCTTGGCCTCCTCTTGACCCTCGGTCTTCTCGCCCTCCTCTTGCTTCTTCTCGGTCGACTCCTCCTTGGCCTCGGACTCGGCGTCCTTGGGCTTGGTCTCCTCGGCCTTTGCGCTTTCCTCGGGCGTCTTGGGCTTCTCGGTCTGCTGTTTCTGGAGCTGTCCGGCCGTCAAGTGGAATGAGCGGGATTGCATCGAACTCGAGATGGATCGCACATCTTCGGGGAGGAACTGTGATCGCAGGGGTGTGGGTCGGAGGGCGGATTGTTGTCGTGAAAAGGCCAGCGCAGCGTTGCCGCTGAGGTCTGTCGAGAGTAACCGGCGATACGAGGGCGTCCTGCCGTGGTTCTGTGCCGCCCGCGCTGAAGCTCTAATAAGAGATGCACTCTGAGGATTTCTCCTCGCCGTCTGCACGAGGGAGTTCATGTTGAAAAGTTCCAAGCTTACCGCCTCCCGACGATAAGCAAAGGTGGAAGAAAAAAGGGAGGGAGGGACAGGGCGGCGAAAAGGTGTAGATGACGATTTGCGGCAGCGGGCGGAGGAGGGACGCTGGCAGCAGAGAAATTTTGGCTCGCGGGCGACGAGGGACTAGTCGGGGCCCAGAAATGGGATAGAAGCTCTGCGATTTCGGTTGAAGGCGGAGCGTGGAAAAAATCTGGGCCCTTGTTCAACCGAAGACAACCCGGCGGGCACACGGCCAATCAGAACCGGAGAATGCCTCCAGACTTTGCGAATTCGAGCTGTCAACTTTGCTCGTCCAAAAACTTCATGGGCCATCGTCAGTGTCGTCAAACTACCCCCCCCCGCCGCCGCCTCCCACCGAACGGAAGGCGAACACGCACAGCGATGAGTTCCGCACCATCGACCCGCCACCTGGCGAGGTCGCTCTTCCAGAATGCCGCCGCCGCCCGCCCCGCGACGGTGACCCGAATGTGGCCCTTCCTCCGATCCTTCTCCCAGACCACGGCGCCCCGCGCCGACGAACCTTCCGTTGCGAAGAAGGGAGGCCAGGACCTCCTCAATGCCATGTACGGTAGCTCGAGGGCCGCATCGGCCGCCTTCCAGACTCCAGCAGAGCAACCAAAAACCGCCTCAACCCCTGGTAACCTGTCCCAGAGCCTGCTCTTCGACACCCTCAACCGCGCCTCGAACGGCAAGTCTGGCCTAGGCGCTCTCGACAACCTGATGGAGGAGCAGGAGGACCGCCTCGAGCCATTCCACTTCCATGTTCTCTCGCACAAGCACAACACACACGTCACCGTCACGAAGCCCGACCGCGGCGCCATCATCTCCATGTCGACAGGCAACATCGGCTTCAAGAAGTCCAAGAGGAAATCCTACGATGCTGCATACCAGTTGACGAAGTACGTTCTGGAGAGGCTGAGCTACATGGGATGGCACAAGAAGATCAACAAGCTCGAGGTTGTGTTGAGAGGGTTCGGCCAGGGAAGAGAGGCGGCTGTGAAGGTTCTCATGGCCCCCGAGGGCAAGATCTGGCGCCAAAAGGTTGTTCGTGTGGCAGATTCGACCAGGTTGAAGTTTGGTGGAACAAGGAGTCAGAAGCCCAGACGTGTCTAGAGGAGAAGCAGCGGAGGAAGAGGCGAACAGACGCCAATTACATGCATGTACAACACGTGTACGACTGTATCATATATCACAACGAGCAACTTTCCTTGCATTCTGTGGTTCAAGATGCAAATGTCTCCAACTCCTATGGTATCAAGTGCTATACGCCGCTCAAACAAAACGCCCGCCTACAACGCCGAACCATGATCCCGTCTTTCCCTCATACAACATGACCTTTAGCCGTTCTACTTCTTCTGGTCTGGCGCTCTTTCTGCAGCAGGCAAATTGCGACCACCGGTGTCGCGGACAGCCTTCTTCCCTTTCCCGTTGCCGCCCCGCCGGCGCTCCTCTTCGCTATCCCAGTCGGCATCTCCGGAATTCTTGGAATTCTCGGTCAGGAATCTCGGAGGCGACTGCTTGAGCATCCTAGAGCCCTCGTGAGCATGGTCGTCGTCCTCCTCCAAGAGCGCGCCGTCGGCGGTATCGTATTCGGGTGGGTCGATCCAGTCGCGGGGGACGACGCAGGGCAATGCGACTCCGATGCTTGCCGCTCGGTTCAGCCAGCCGGGACCGGGTCGACCGGTCAGCTTCTTACACAGATACGACGTGAAGTGGTTGCAATTCTTGGTCAAGAGGTTGTATGAAGTTCCGAGGAAGTCCTTTGACGCCTCTTCGAGAATCGCGTCGATTTCGGCCTGGGTCGCAAAGGTGAAGCCGTGGAGAATCTCCGACTTGAAGGTGCCGCCGGGGGGCTCGGTCTTGGGCTTCGTCCAGTACACTCCGGTGATGCCGCGCCTTTCGTGGCCGCCGTATGCGTATTCCTTGCCATTGATCACGACGCCCGAGTGCAGCAGCGAGGCGCCAACCGTCCAGAGAACCGAAGAAAGTCTTCCTGGCTGCAGGGCATTGTTAGCGATGCCGACACACGGTGATCGGCAGGTGGTTGGTCCATCAACTTACAGGAAGCAGATCGTAGACGTGGATTGTGACTTCTGTCTTTTGAAGCGACAAGGTTGAGCGGTGATTGCTCGAGCGAGGAGGCATCTTCGGCTGGCGGCCTTGAAGGCGGCGTTGCAGGCGGTTGAAGGTTGGTGTATTACGTCGTACTACAGCAGCGCGAGTCGTAGGAGGAGGGGCGACAGCAGAGCAGAACGGAACAGAGGCGGAAGGCAGAGCAGACCACAGATGGGGTTAAATATACACGTCGAAGCTCCGGGATAAAGATTGAAGCCGTTTCACAAGTGAAAGAAGCAGTTCCGGCGAGTTGAAAGGTACAGGCTGAGGGAATTGGCGAAGGGGGAAACAAGCAGCGCACACAATGCAGTCGTCGACGAAAGGCCGCAAGGCATGTCGCAGCTGGTAACCTTGGGCCTGGCTCGGGCGGTGCTCGGCGCAGATGCGGGCGTCAGCGAGGTAATTTGGGTGGTGTAACTGAACCGGCGCTGGCTGACTGGCAATGCTAACTTGGAAGCCTAGGCGACCTGACTTGCCCGGGGACAGCAGTCATCAGTGAATCACTCCTGCACTATCCGTACCTAGGCACCCGGACGGCACCGAGGAAGCCCACCTTACGAACTGAAAGTCTGAAGTGCATGCAGGCAAGCAGGCATTCTGCGCGGTGACAGCAAGCGAGGTACTTGGAGACGAGCTGTTTTAGTGTAGTAAATGCGTGGCATTGCACGGCCCGGACAAGTCACTCTGCGCCGCAAGCGGGCTAAGAGCAATGCGACCCAATGAGACGTCGAGGAATGAGGTCAGCGGCCAGACAGCATCCCTGCCCAAAACCAGCCCCGCGTCTTCCTTCAGCAGCAGCGGCACAGCTCTGGAACACCGACCTGAAGCTTCCTTTTTGGGGCAGGATGGAGGAGCTGCACGCGACCTGGATTATTACCTCAGCATTCCTTGTACCCCAGCTAATGCCTTACCTAAGCACAGGCTAAGGTATCCGTACCCGGCATGACGGACCTATGCCCCACTTCCAGGTTCTATTCGAATATTTTGACCCGGGCTTTCGTTCCGCCGCCGCGCCGAACCCTCCCGCCTTCCAATTCCATCCAGCTTTCGTCAGGTTTTTGCTCTCAACCCCCTCCGCCCCGTTTATGGTGGGGCACATTAAAATTCATCTAACCAGGCCCGCGCGACGACTATTTTTTCTCTCAGCATCAACAGCTTCACGCTTTCTCCCTCCTTCTTCCTCTCTTCTCTCTACCGCCTATTCTCCCACTACCCCCGCGGGCAATCCGTACGCGATTGAGGCTGGTCGCGGCCGATAGTCGCCAAAACGACGTCCTTCATCGTCCTCCCCTCTTCCTTCGCTTCTCCCTCCACCTCTTTGCTCCCCCGCGCAGCTAGTTCTGCCTTTCGCAGTCGCAATCTTCTAGCGACTGCCGCGCTCACGTGCACCGTACTATACACACCCACTCGTCAGTACGCCAAGAGCCGCCGGATCAAAATGCCTCCCAAGAAGCAGGTCGTGGAAGAGAAGATTCTCCTGGGCAGGCCCGGTAACAACCTGAAGAGTGGAATTGTGGGTGCTACGCCTTAGAACCTGTGCGGGATCAGGCTGACCCCTCTCTTCAGGTTGGCCTTGCAAACGTCGGAAAGTCCACCCTCTTCCAGGCCATTACCAAGTGCAACCTTGGAAACCCCGCCAACTTCCCCTACGCCACCATCGATCCTGAGGAGGCTCGCGTCATCGTCCCTGACGACCGCTATGACTGGCTTTGCGAAAAGTACAACCCCAAGTCTCGCGTTCCCGCCAACTTGACCGTCTACGATATCGCCGGTCTGACCCGCGGTGCCTCCACCGGTGCTGGTCTGGGTAACTCTTTCTTGTCCCACATCCGCGCCGTCGACGCCATCTTCCAGGTCGTCCGTTGCTTCGACGATGCCGAGATTATCCACGTTGAGGGTGACGTCAACCCCACCCGTGACCTCGACATCATCAGCGATGAGCTGCGTTTGAAGGATATCGAGTTCGCTGAGAAGGCTCTCGAGAACCAGAAGAAGAAGACCCGCTCTGGTGGCAAGGGCCTCGAGCACAAGAAGGCCATGGAGGAGCAGGCTACCATGGAGAAGATTATCGAGCACCTGAAGGCCGGTAATGAGGTCCGCAAGGGCACCTGGGGCCCCAAGGAGGTAAGCCGCATTTTTCACTCTTTCACTCGACCCCCTGCCTTAAATGATGATCAAGGGCCCAAGGCCCGACTATTTAAACCCAGCTCTTCGAATGCCAAAGGCATACTGAGACAAAAAACCGTTCTGATTTTGCACCTTGTCACTACTTTCATGTTTCGCACTCTTGTCGCAAAACCAGTTCTGACAATATCTCTAGGTCGAGGTCATTAACCCTCTGTTCCTCCTTACTGCCAAGCCGGTCGTGTACCTGGTCAACCTGTCTGAGAAGGACTTCATTCGCAAGAAGAACAAGCACCTTCCCAAGATTGTTGAGTGGGTTAAGGAGCACGCCAACGGCGACCCCATCATCCCCATCTCCGTCTCTTTCGAGGAGCGCTTGACCCGCTACGAGACCGAGGCTGAGTCCCTCGCGGAGCAGAAGGCTGTCGGTGCCGAGTCTTCTCTGCCCAAGATCATTCTGCAGATGCGCAAGGCCCTGAACCTCGGCAGCTTCTTCACCACTGGTACCGATGAGGTTCGCCAGTGGACCATCCGTAACGGCACCAAGGCGCCGCAAGCCGCCGGTGTCATCCACACGGATTTCGAGAAGACGTTCATCCAGGCCCTCGTCTACAACTTCAGCACCCTTAAGGAGCTCGGCAGTGAAGCCGAGGTCAAGGCTAAGGGCAAGGTTATGACGAAGGGCAAGGACTACGTCGTGGAGGACGGCGATATTCTGCTTATCAAGGCCGGTGCTGCCAAGGGTTAGAGAATGAATATCTGATGGAAATTTAGATATGAGGATTGGTCAAAAGCTCTGCCTTTCGGTTTAGATATCACCGGCTAATAGAGAATTGCCGCCACACACCTATTGTCCCAACGTGAATCCATGATGTCCTGTGAAATGTGCTGAGTTGAAAATCCAAGTACTGGTGAGCACCTTACTCGGAGCAAATTAGCCGGGGATTTTCCGCCACTCTCGCACCGTCCACCTCAGCACGGACCCTGTGACATCTCTCGTTGTACCTCTTGCTGGTAACCTTCAAGCACTTGGACATGAATCTGCATCAAGACACCATCGAGGCGTCGAGGCAGAACAACATGAGCCAACCTCCGATAAACCGTGGCCATGGCCGCAACATATCGGTAACGAGACGTGAGTTTGTCTAAGTCGTTTACTTGCGCCGCGGCCAACATGGATCTTTTCCACATCATTTCCACCATTCCAATCTCATGGGTGTCCACTCATACACATGAAGTCTTCATCGCCGTACTGGTCGGTTCATCTTGCTAACATACACAGCGGTCCGCCCACGATCTTCGACTAAGGGTCCTCTAGATCTGAACGAGTGAGAAATCCTACCCAATACTCTATGGCTGTACTGACACCTCTCAGTACCCCTCTCAACGACCCATTGTCACCAAAAGCTGGCGCAGCAGAAGAACCGACTCAACGCCCAGTATCAGGCGTCAAATCCCCAGCACCTATCCATTCTCCCGTACCTCCAGTCAAGACCACCGTAACCAAGGACTTCAGCTTCCTCCTCCGCCCCGAGATCTACCACAGCATCAACCCCATCAACATCCCCGTCGCCTTCAAGACCTCCCCAAACGGGCCCACCCCCGATGCCTCGCTCGACGACCTCCTGGCCATGGGCCACTTCCGTGCCGCCGCCATCGCCGCCGTCCAGGAGCTTACCGGAACCGGCGGCCCGGCGCGCCCCCGCGTCGACCCCTCAGACCACCAGCGCATCTTCACCCTGCTCTACACCCGCCTCGCCTGCCTAACGCTCATCGACGCCACCTCCGTCGCGGCGCAGGAGGTCCGCGCCCTCGAGGACCTCAACGCCGGCGTCTACATCGACGAGACCACCGGCGAGCACCTCGTGCCGTGGGAGCTGCGCGTGCTCAACATCCGCCTGCAGGCCCTCGGCTTCGGCGACCCTCGCCGCTCCGTCATGGCATACCACGACCTCGCGCGCGAGGCCCGCGAGCAGATCTCCAAGGCCGCCGCGCGGCACGACAACTCGGCCCGCGAGCTGTGGAAGGCCCGCCTCCACGACCTCGGGATCAGTGTCGCCGGCGCGCTCATCGAGATGGACGACCTCGCCGGGGCGGCACACCACCTCGCCGCGCTGAGGGACCGCGGCGACGGCAAGATGGCGCTTTCGCGCGCGCTCATGTGGCTGCACCTCGGCGACGTGGACGCGGCGCGCCGGAGCGTGCAGGACGCGGGCGGCGGCGACGACGACGGCAGGCACGCGGAGCAGGTCGTCGCGGCGCTGTGCCAGATGGCCGACGGCGAGTACGAGGCGGCGCTGCAGTCGTGGCGGGGGTTGAAGGAGCAAGTCATGGACGAGATGATTGGCGTCAACATGGCGGTGTGCCTGCTCTACACGGGCAAACTGACAGAGGTCCGTCAGCAAGCTCCATTTTCATTTTTATTGCTGCTTTCCCCTTCCTACGTTATCGTGCATACTGACAAAGTGCTGACTGGAAAATCACTCTGCAGGCGCGCGCATCCCTCGAAGACATGGTCGGAGACGGCTACTCGTCGCACACCCTCCTCTTCAACCTGAGCACGACATACGAGCTCTGCACGGAGCGGAACCGGAACCTCAAGCTGAGGCTCGTGGAGAAGGTCGCCGATCAGGACGAGACGGTCAAGGGCTGGGAGAAAAGCAACGCCGACTTCAAGCTGTAGAACACTGATTTTGCCCAATGTAAACCACACGCCTTAGCACACAATTGGTTGGATGAGATCATTGCCTCCGGTGCTTCCCCTTCCCCTCCCTCCCTCCGGCTTCCCCTCCACCCCTCGTGAAGTACCTCACCGTCCGTACCTCAACAACCCCCGACTCCGTGAACAAGGGGGGTTGGGCTGGGTTCTTTTACCTTTGGCTTTCCGTGTGGCCCGGAGGAGGGGGACGTCCCCGGCGCGCCCAATCAGCGCGGCGTTGGCCGCCGCCCTGAATAGACTTGGCCCAATGGCGGGGTCCCGCAGGCCTAGCGCGCAATCAGACGGTGCCGGTGCGCGGTGCCTTGCACCTATTATTTACTGCTTACCAAGATGCTTAGTTACAGGACGTGCATGCGGTGGCAGAATGACAAACCCGGCCGTCAGTCACCGCACAACCAGTCAGTCAACCCAACCACACAACAGATGACTTTTTTGTCTCCTCTTCCCTGGCCAGGCCAAGACAACTATCGGGCTGAATTTTCGGGAATGAGGGGGTTTGGTCTTGATTTTGTCATTTGCGGTTGTTATTTTTGGGACACGGCGATGAAAGTGAAATACCTTTTGAGCCCCGCCGCTCCCGGGCGCTGCTCGGCGTTCTCAGCTGTTCGCCCTGTTACTTCAACATCATGCCCTTCCTTTTTTCATGTTGTTTCTCATTGATCGGCTGAACTTTTTTCTTTCCATCGCCGTTCTAGTTACAAGTCGCCGACGTTCGCAATGTCAACCTAATTCAAACAAAGATTGATAAAAAGACCTGGGCCAACAGCTGCCTCCGAACAGCCACATCTTGCGAGAGCGATGTATGAAACGTCGCATTGCCACGAGCTCTCGGCTCATCTCTCAGACATGTCCACGCGGGACCTGCAGCTCCGCACGATCGAGCTGCTGGAGAAGATTGCGCGCTCGCAGAGGGTTCTCGAGAGGCGCGTCGACGCCGTGGAGAAGATGGTGCTCGCGCACCTGCCACCGACATCCTCGTCAGAAGAAGAGACGAGCAGTAGTTTCCCGCAATTCAGACGACTCCCGCCGGAGATTAGGCACCGAATCTGGGAGCTCGCGATACCGGTCAGAGCGCTGCGGTTGCGGCGGGGCCGGGGCGGGTTCATACCGACCCTGCGGCCGCCCGCCGTCGCGGAGACGTGCCGCGAGGGGAGGGCTGTCGCGACGGCGCACGGGGGCGGCATGGTCTCGGTCACCGCGTGCGGGAAGGGGGAGATGGAGAGGCGGTGCTGGAGCTGGTTCGACGGGCGGCGGGATGTGCTGGAGCTGGAGAGGTGGGTTAGTCTGGAGCGGGACGAGCCGAAGAGCGTGAGGGAGCTTGTGGGCAGGGCGAGGTATGTTCTTGCGCCGAGGGCGGACGCGACATGGTTCAAGAGGTTGTTTGAGGAGGCGGTGGAGTTGAAGAGGGTGAGCCTCAAGTTCGACACGACTGTGGCGAGCCGGTGCGCGTGGGATGCGAGTGTGGTGAGCGGAGTGTTTGGCAGCGTCGATACCGTTGCGATTCTCGATTTGGAGGATGCTGGGGAGATTGGGAGGTTTAAGGGAGCGCTGGGGGAGCATTGGCGGTGTCCTTTCTTTTGTGAGTTTGATATTGAGGGGTGGGCGAGGGAGAAGAAGACGGCGACGGCGGTTGGGGAGAGGGGGGAGAAGTGGATGAGGGGGTTGGAGGGCAGTTGGATGAGTGAGGTTGCGAGAGGATGGGTTATGGCGAAGACGAAAATGGGGCCAAAAGATGGTATTGATGTCGAGGACGAGAGGGTGAGAAGGGCGCTGAGTTGCATGCCTGATGTCAGGCTTGTGAGGGCGTATTTGCTGGCTGATGTCCATGGTTCAAGATAAACAACCTTTTTCAATATCCTAATGCCCCAATTCCCGTGCAAAATGCATTTTCAGTCAAGTTAGTCGTCACAAATGAGGGGGGTGTCTACTGATGAGGATGCCACGGGCCGGCATTTCGCTGTGACGCTATCATCTGAAATATTTACAAGTCCTGAAAACGTCCGAACACAATGATCTGTTTGGCAGGCAAGGCAAGTTCGAGGCTGAGGTCTTGGCAGGACTTAGGCTTTCAAAGACTCAGGAACTGATAGATTGAAGCAGTCAGGCAGCCGCGTTTTTCTTTCATTTTCTTATACGGGGCCATGGGGAGGTCCTGATCCTTCGCGCAGTCCTACGGCCAGGGTGTCGCGGAGCGACTCCGCCACCAAAACGCCGGGTTGGCGATTCAAGTCCTATGCGTCTAATTGACTGTGGTGAAATCTAGTAAAAAGACATTCGCGTCCCATTTCATAGTCTCTGATTCGAACAAAACAACCTAGTTGGCAGCTTGAATCACCGGTGCACATTTTCAAATCAATTTCCGGCGCAAGTATGGATCGCAGGTCAGGTTCGGAGACCAACTCCGTCATGAAGAGCATCCCATCCAAAGCTCCATCACTGAGCTCATGGTATGTTACTTCCTACAATTGATTTGTGGAAAAGTCAGGAATCTCACAATTGACAGTACTTCCAACTCAAATGAACCCCATAACCAAATCCCCAACCCTCCACCGACGCCACGACCCGAGATCGCTCCCAACGGCGAAGTCATCCTCCTCGTCGGCCCAGACTCCCACCCCATCCACGTCCATGCTCTCATCCTGGCCGACGCCTCCCCCGTCTTCAAGTGCCTCTTGCAACCCACGTCTTCAACCTACACCGAGCCCGCCGCCGTGCTCTTCGCTACCCCCGACTCCCCAGCGCACGTCACTCTCCCCGAGGACGACCCCCAGGCGATCGAGACGATATGCCGCGTGCTGCACAGCCGCATCGACGACGCCGTGTGCGACTTGTCTGACGACGAGGTGTTGAGGGTGGCTGTCGCGGCGGATAAGTACGACTGCACCGCGGCGATGGGCCTAGCGGTGCGGCATTGGCTGAGAGCAGATAAGTTGGAGGCGATCAAGAACGCGGCGAGGGATGGGTGCATCGGGTTCCGGAGGGGAGATATGTTGTTGGCTGCGTATTGGTTCAAATGTGAGCCGGTGTTT